TATTACCTCTTTCTTCTTAGTTGACCTCTTTGGTTTTATTACAACATGTGCAAAATGTTTTGAAGGTGGTGGACCCTATAATTGTACCTATCGCCCGCTCTCTTCACTGCTCACCATAGAATAAGCCTGAGCAAGTGTTACTTCATCCTTGGCCAGAATATTCTACCTCGTAATATCAAATTCAAGGTTAAGTCCTATAAGAAACTCAAACACCTTGTTTCTTTCCACAAATTTCCTGAATATCTTTGCATCCTTGGTGCTTTCCCATACAACTGCTTCTATAACATCAATCTCCTGCCATAGTGACTTCAACATTAAGTAGTAGACAGCTACACTCTTCTCCCCCTGTTTCGGATTTTTCACATCATTCTTCAGTTTGTAGGCCCTTGCAACATTCAATTTCTGAGAATATGTTTCTGTAACACTATCTCAAATCTTCTGTCAAAATGGATTTTTCCCAAGCTAAATAATTTGTTCCAACAAGTTTGATTGTAGTCACTCCTGTCAAAATGGAATCTACAGGACCAACCCTCGACACTGGGATCTGCTTCATCTCACTTCCAAATTGCTTCATTGATCAAATGAAAATAAAAAGAACAATGTTTTCAAATTAGACCTAATTGAGGTCAGTCCAACACTTAAAAATCTCAAAACTAGGGTTTCACTATACCTAGCCTCCGGGGAGAAAGAGAGAAGTAGCCACTCCAACTAGAGCTTCCCAAACCTTTTCTAATTGCAACCACCCACTTTTGGAGATCAAAAGGAACCCTCCAAGCCTTGAGCGCCACACCCAAAACAGTCTCTTTAACCTATAACTGGAAACTCTTTAGTCGGGTAGGGTTTTGGGTAAAAAATCAGCAACCCCACTTTCTTGGCAATCTACAACCAGATTCTGACTTTCCAAACCCTCTACCAACTAGGCATACAAGTTCTCTTTATAATCAGCAACTTATATCTCCATACACCTTTCGATTAGAAGAGTGTATGGGAAAAGAAAAGGAAAAAAAATAAAAGAGAAGGAAGACCTGCTCTGATACCACGATGTGATTTAGACCAATAAAAAATAGTAAAATATTTCAGATTATAGCAAAAGAGGAAGAGAAGAAGGAAGAATGGAGAAGGGAGAAAGGAGTTCGATAATCTCCTCTTTCTCCACTAATCTTTTATTAATCTTACTAAGATTACATAAATTACAAGTCTGCCCTTAAGTGGGTGTCCACCTCATCAGCATACTTGGAAAACATAAAAAGGATTAAAGGCCTATAAAGAAAAGGGCCCATTAAGAACAAATAACAAGAAAGAACTAATCAATAAGATAATAATGGGCTAGGGCCCATTTGGTCCAGTCTCTCTACACATACTACTACCACATATATAATATTGTTGATGATCACTACCATATTTATAATATTCTTTTCTTTTGGAAGCTAAAAGTATAAATTGTATTAAGGAGAGAGGGGCTCCCTCAAGCGGATGACATGTACAAATTACAAAATGATCAATTATGCAGAGCATTCTATTCCTTAAAAGCCATATTCCCTTATAATCTGATGCCCCTGATTGCTGAAATCTTGATATTTAAGAACTACAAAATCCCTTCAGTGCCTACCACATATATAATATTAGACCTAATGATAGTTGAAAATGCTAATCTCCTATATTTTGGGTGGTTAGGACATGGTTAAAACTGTTTCAGTCAGGTTGTGTCAACCCAACCAAAACTTACCTTTGCTACTAATTCTATGCTATGTTACCTGGATATGGCAAAGATACAGCTGGATTAGTGTTTTAAAAGGTATGTCTCAGGTGTGCTTAGGCACACTGGTGGGGTGCAATTTGAGGGTATGCACCTTGCTGAACCAACGTGCAGCTCCTTTTAAAAGAAGTCATATGCCTGGTTCGCCTTTCACCTCAGCCTAAGCATGCACCTTTTCAAAATTGTCCCCTTTTTTTCATTCTTTCATATTTTGAACTTCTGAAATGGTTCGTCAACTACTGAATTACCTTTTATTGTTATTTGTACACTAGTATGGTCTGTTCACTTTTGCCTATCAGAGAAAAAAAGGTCTATTAACTTTTAAAACAAACAAAAATAGATCTTTCAAGTACTTAAAAACAAAAATTCCACTAAAGAAGAAATAATAATACAACTAATGTGTGGTCTCTAATCCTAAAATGGAATGAACTGTGACTAAAATCGCAAAACTAATTTCTTTACATATGGGCTGAAGGTTTAGGTTGGGACCCTAACCCTAGTATGGACTTGTTTGGGCTTGCCTCAAGTGTCTTTTATGGAGACCAGAGGGCTGATCTCCTAGGATTGGGAATGCAAGATGTTTAACATCACACTAGCTGTTTGAAGTAATGCAACTAGGAAATTGAAAGTTTCACATGCTTGAATTGTTGAGTGCTTGAAACATTTTGATACAATCCATGTATATTTGCTTTCACTTCCACATTTTCACTTAGAGTATGTTTTATATGTTTTGTTTATCAGTTTATATATTTTAGTTTGAACCAATAGGCTTTTTAAAACATTATTTTCTTTTAAATTTCAAACTTTGTTTTTTTATTTTTTATTATTGCTTGATTTTTTTTTCAAAAATTGTGTTCCTTGCTTTGAAAAGGTGCACACCTCGCGTTGTGCACTGCACACCTCGCGTTGTGCACTGCACACCTCACGTTGTGCACTGCACCTAGGGTGCTAAAAGGCCCTTGTGCTTTTATTGTGCTTTGTGCTTTTAAAGCACTGAGCTGGATATGATATTGAATCTGAAATTTACACTAAAATTGAAGTATATGATAAGATTGATAAGAAAAAAGTTGAAGTATCTGATAAGATACAATACCCTTAGTATCGTATTGGGGATACTTTCTCAGAGTCTTGGAGTTCCGTTGGGTAACGCCTAGATCAGTTAAGGATCTCCTCGGTTGTTGGAAGGTGAGATGCCTTAGTAAGAAAGGGAGCCTGGTGTGGAGGACTATTCCTGCTGCTGTTTTATGGTCCATTTGGGCTGAGAGGAATAGTAGAATCTTCAATAAGGAAGGCAAAAGTCCTGAAGATACCATTCAGAGAGCTGTGGGCAAACTGATTTCTTGGATATCTGTATGAGGAATTTAAAAGTCTGAATTTGTCTTCTTTTTATTGTTCTGATTTCTGGTGGAAAGTGTAACTGCTGTAGTCTTCAGGCCGCCCTTCTGGGTCTGATCCTAGGTTGTATGTTTTTTAGTTGAATAAAATTACTTTACCTTTTCCTAAAAAAAGATAAGATACGATACGCTTGTATAGGTATCTCAGTATCACAGGTTCAATGCTGAAAATGCACACGCATTAAAATTTCATTCCTATGCTGCACTCACATAGATCCACCTTTTGTCCTGCTTCAACCCATCATTTTGCTGCTTTATGCAAGGGTTTAGTAACTAATGATCTTCTTCATAATATTAAAGTTTGTTGTGTGGTATCTGAAGTTGATTATTGACAGAATTGTCATATTGGCATTGAGCTCCAAGTGTAATTTGATCTTGGCCACAATTTTACCCAATCCAAGTACTCAAGTTACTTCTCCCTTTGAAACGTTTGTCTTGCTCTGAATTTGGATGTATGTTCATAAAAAGCTTCAGGATAAACAGCTGTGTTACAAGCATAAGCTATGATATTGGATAATCTGAAAGTTGGTATGCATTTCTTTTGGTTAAAATGGATCTTCTATTGGGAGTATTATAGAATACTTGCAGTGTTAATTTCTAAACAAAAAACGAGATCGGCATTGATATCCTTTAACTATTTAGGGAAGGAGAAAGGATATGGGAAAATGGCATGTTGTGAAGATTATAACTGACTAGCTGACATGCAGGGGGGGGGGAGATGGATATAGTTCGGAGAGAGGAAAATAAATGGATTTGATTTTTCACATGATAGTTTGGACACGAAGATCAGCATTATATAGTAAAGATATTTTTCTTGAAAACATAAAAAAAAACTTTAAAGCACGATCGGCACTTGTGCCTTTTTTTTTGACATGGATGCTCATTCTTTGGGTTTGAGAAATTCAGAGTACTCTCCATGTCATATTCTATTGGCTATTTATATTTCTATAACTGTACTTGTGCCTTTTTTTGAAATCCAGAGTTGTCTCATCATTCATATTCCAATGCTTTGTAATGCTTCAGCATTGGTCAAACACAAAATAGGGAATAATTCATCATTCATATTCCAATGCTTTGTAATGCTTCAGCATTGGTCAAAACACAAAATAGGGAATAATTCTCAATCAGAGAATCTTTCAGCAAGGTCAATTCATCCATCAGAGATTGGCAAGCAATGTTTTCGAACTGCCATTGACCCAGACAGTCGGACCGTTTGGCCCGGGAACCATCCAGGAAACCGGTTCCGTTTTACCCCAAACCCAGTCCCTGGCCGAAAACCGTTGAATTGGTCAACGACCTGTTGACACAGGCGGTCGAACCATCGACCCATTCAATGGTTTTTGGCTGTTTTTTATTTTAATTATTTGTCAGAATGGGCCATCCATTCAAACTGGACAGTCGAACTGTCGATCCGGAAACCGGTGGCTAGAACGGTTCCAGTTCCGGGTCGTTTTTTAAAACATTGTTGGCAAGTGCTCTGCATAATTTTTGGATAGAAAATTGTAATTTTTTTTTTTGTTTAAATAAAGCTAATGCATCAATTGCTTATTGAAGATAAGAGATTATCTGGTCAAAAGATCGAATGAATTAATTTTACTCTTGTATAAATTAGCATTTGATAAATCTCCTTGTCTATGTGTGGTTTGAACTGGAAAATAAAAACTAATTATAGGGGCCAATGACCGCTATTGGGTAGTCTTAGAATCTTGGTAATTTCTGAACCTGTAATTTCTCATTTTGCTTTATAGAAGTTGTACCTTTATGAAGGAGCTGAACTTCGTTTCTTTCATTGTATACATTATGATTTAGGAGTTTTGTGGAGATTCTGATTTAGATTAATCAATATTCAGGTCTTTGGTGATAAAGCATTTGAGAAATTTGGTAGGGGTTTCATCTCCATGCATTTCTCTGATCAACACCCAGGCACCCATAGGAAGATGTTGCTGTTCAAATTTGCTCTTCCAGATGCCAATCACATGGCTGACATGACACGATTGGTTGCACTTGTACCTTACTACATTGATTTAATTGGACGGTATAAAGTCAGTTCACAGGTGGGTTAGTTATCCTTCTCTCTGGCAGTAGTTTAATCTGTTATTTCGACTTATGATTGTTATTTATGATTTTGACTGCAAAAAAACTGGTCATTCATGATTCTGGCTTTTCCCTCCATGTAAGTGCAGGTCCATTCTAAAACAGAGGCTGCCCGAACAAAGGCTGCTCAAGAGGCATACAAAGAATTCATGAATGCTAGGCAGGAAGCTTTGCAGAAGAGGAAGGCGGAGAAGAAAAAGATGATGGAGGAGGCTGAGGCAAAACTTACTGCAGAAGCTCTTCGCAAGAAAGAAGCAAAAGAACGTTCTCGCCAGATGAGGAAGGCTATGCCAAAAGTGAAGATGACCCGTGCTCACTAGTTCTACATTGTCAGTTTCATGGAAGCTCATGAAACTTTTGGGCTATCTTCCACAGGCTCAGGTGCTCTTAGTCAGATTTTTACCAGGGTTTCTTCAATCAACTATATGTCCCCCATCTAAGATTAGTATCTCAGCCCAAACCATGTACTTATAGTTGTTGCTTTTACAGACTAGCATCCAGCCCAATTTTAGACCTAAATATCCCTGCGGGTTCTTAATGCAACTTTCTTTTTTTTTTTTTTCCGTTTACGCATTTAGTCTGATAGGGTTCCACTTGTGATTCGATTGGTTTCTGGCCCCCTCATCTAAAGTTATGCTGCTTCTAAATGTCAACAAGCTCCAACTTGTGTTTTTATTAGGAATGTAAAACGGGCAGGGCAGGGCCGGGCTGGTTTTCCATGCTCTGTCCCTGACCATGAACCCTAATACCCCACCCCATACCCCTACGGGCCTAAAAATCCCAACCCCTCTGCAGGAAACAGGGATCCCAGGGATCCTCGAATTTGTCCCACCCTGTCTGTCATTTCTACTTTCAGATGGAGGGGATTCGGGGCTGGGGTGGACAAATACCATATCCAGTTACAAGAGATATGGGTTCCCCTGAAACCTGCCCTGAACCTGATTAGCGGTCGCAGGTTGGAGCCCTGATGGGGGCAGGTCAAATTGCCATTTGATTTTGATAAGGGGTAGTTCAGTATCAGTTGAAGTGGCTGAACTGGAAAACCTATTGCTTTGATTTTTTAGTGAACCAAGTTTTTTTAGCGATTATTGTGGATTCCTTCGTCTGAACTCTGAAGCTGCAGTTGGGTAGAACACTGTAACCTTGAATATTGTCTAATTATTTTATCCATTTAAGGACAAAGCAATAGACTTTCTGCTCTTGCTGGTATTTTTTGAGTTCTGTTTACCGGGCACTGTAGGTAATCATCATGCTAATCTTGCTAGTATTTTGAACTTTGAAGCTGTTTATGGATCGTCTTTGCTTTGGTACTAACCTCAACCATGATCAATATATTAATTCAGCAATTCCCGAATTTCAAATTGAAGGGTTGCAATTATAGATGATTATTCTTAGCCACTTGGTGCCAACTGACGGGTGGCTCAGTTGGTACATTAGGAGGATTAGTGTGGTGCTGCGCTTAGGAATGGCAAGTTGGGGTTTGGGGTGGCAATCCTATTCTCCATCCCACACGCCAACTTTGAAACAAATTCAGGTCCCCAATCCCAACCCCCAACGGGGATAAAAGTGACTCTCCACCCCCAATCCTTGATGGAGACGTATTCCCCATGGGGGACCCGAATTCCTAAAATTTTTAAATTAAAATTATATATATTGGGGTCGGGTGGGGCAGCAATTTCACTCTCCATTCCTGTCCCTGTTCCTGGTTGAGTATCACTATCAATACCCATCTCCAAGGCGATCTCCATTCCCTAGGGGTTGGGGATTCTGGGCACCCTATAGGGACAGAAAAATTGCCATCATTAACGGAGGATTCAGGCGTATCACCAAAATACCAAAAAAAAAAAAAAAAAATCCTAGCCACTTGGTCAGCAAAGAAGCCCAGCCCGGCCTGCAAATATGCAGGCTTAGGCCTGGGTTTTGCATCCAGACCCGACCTGGGCCTCTACGAAGCCCAAGACGTTGTAGGCCGAACCTGGGTCCAATACCTTCAGTTCAGCCCAGAATATAAACACACACTAGCTGATCTACTCGTCTTAATCCAATATCTTCAGCCCAAAATATAAACACACAAGCTTTTTTTTTTTTTTTTTTGTTGATACCCACACACTAGCTGATCTATTTGTTAATCTTCCATGGCCCAAGATAACAGAAATTATTCTTTGATCTAAAGTTCAAAGAACCAGAAGACAACTCCTTGCAACAAGAAGACCTCTATTGGAACAACTTTTCATAAGCAATCGTAGGAGACTGTTCCCAATCAAATAAGCTTCACACCTGCATCCCTTACAGAGTCGATGACAGCCTTCACCTTGCCATGATATTTCTGTTCTCTTTTTAATATAACAGAGACGGCTGGAATGTCCTTAATCAACAAGCGCTCCCCCAGAATCTTCCCAATCTTTGCTGCAGCAGCAACATCTCGAGTATTCTCCATGCTTGATCTTAATGCCTTCTCTTGTGAGCTCGCAGAGGCGGCTACTGTTGCTGTTGGCGAGTGGATCACTTGTGCGCTGACATACTTGTTTGTGAAGTGCATCTTGAGCACATATGGCTTAAGAAAATTTGTAATTCTGGGTGGCCTGACAGGTGGAGGGATAACCATCTCTGCTTCCAAAATCAACATTCACAAGAATTAAAGCAGCCAGGAACATTACAGATTAGATTACATAGACAGAAATAGCAGAAAATGTATAATAGGAACGTTGAGGTCATTCCACTTAATTAAGATTTCTTAAGCAAAATATCAGATCTTCAACACTTTTCAAAACAATTACACATTAACATGTATACAAGTACACACACACACACACACACAAATATGGTGTGGCAACTTCCTGGAGGCTCATAATGTAGAATTATAGGCGCAACATTGTAAAAATTCAAAACTGTAGAAAGATTGAGTAGGATTGTCCCCAAAATATTAAGAATTTTTAATAGAAAAACTCATCCTTCTTTTAGTTTCCCTTTTTAAGTCATTGGTTGTAATTTAACCATTTTTTATATGATAAGAAAAAATTATTTAAAAGAAAAAAAAAAGATGAAAAGATAATAGGTGTCAGCTCTAAATATTACCCACAAATAATAACTCTTGTGAGAAATGAGAATCAAATATTTACTCAAGACCAAAATCATTTAACTGATATCTGCAACTTAGTAACTCAGATTTGGTGGACCAGGCAGTATGGAAGATGCAGATAAGAAGGTTCCTATTTGAGTGGGTGGGGAGAGTGAGAGAGCAAACAGTTAGTGAAGTATTGGCAATCTTATGTAACTACTAAAGTTAGCGAACTCATTTTCTTGTAAATGGAAAGCTGCCATGAGGTTGAATAAATTCTCTAGTTGCTGCAAACAGCAAAATCTCATTGGAGCTTAACAAGTATGCAATTGAGATGGTTAACAGTTCACCAGGAATAACACGAAAACAAGGAAAGAATCAGATTAGGCTCACCCGTAAATGCTCCACTGAAGAGAAGAAATACATTCTTAAACAAGGAAGAGGAAGAAATCACAGGTAAAGACTCGTTTCTACACTTGTTGTTTTCTGTAAAAAGGAAAAAAAAAAAAACATAGATTTACAAAACTGGCTGACAGGTTGTTTGATCTTGAGCTCCAGCAGTAATAGTTGAAATGAAGCATAGGAGTGTCACACAACAAGAACACCCCCAAATGGCTAGGGTTTGGTAGATAGTGTCACGCAACAAGAACACCTCCAAACCTATCCATTAATCACTCACAACCAATAAACACCCATGCCAAATACATACTAATGGGTTGCAACCAAGGCTTTAAAAGACTAAAGGTGGTAGCAAGGCAGTTGGGTCTTGGAGAGGCAAGGCATAACCCTCTAGATTAAAAAAATAAAAATTATGGACATAAAGACATAAAAACATAAAAAAGACAAATAATTGAAGACTTATGTAATCTACAATACTTTTTCAAGGCATTTAAACATGTGTTTTTGATAATCTTATTCCTCCAGACAACTAAACATCCGGACATTAATGCTATCTACATTTTCCATTCAGATGACAGTAAGGGAGCTTAGTGAACTTTTTTCTTGGAAAACATACAAGGTGGGTTTCATTCAATTGAAGAAAGAGTCCAGATTTTGAAATTATATACATCCAAGGGAAGTAGCATAATTATCTAAAGATTTGAAACCATAGGTCCTTAATGAATGTCAAGAAATTAAATACAAAAACCAAAGCAACAAAAAAATACTGATGGTTGGGTGATGGATATCTAATGAAAAGAAAAAGAAAAAGAGAGAGGAATTTTCAGAGGAGGATGAAAAATGGGAACAAAGAAGAGTCTTAAGGTGGAGATGGTCAGGTTGATGGAGAGGCAAGTACAGGTGGGCAAATCTTTGGGATTGTTCTTTTTGGGAGAAGGGGTAGTAAGGAAGGCTATAGAACAATTTGAGAGGAATAGAAAAGAAGAACAACTTAAAATGACTACTTGTGGAGAAGCGGGAGTGTGGGGAGGACGGGGAAGAGGAAGAAGAGGAATTGGTTGACGAGTAGGGGGGCAGGGGGAGGTAGTGTTGAAAGATGAAATTGATTACTTGGAACGTGAGAGGGTTAAGAGATGGAAGGAGGGAGATTGTAAAGAACTTCCTAAGAAAACACAGTTCTAATGTAGTTCTGCTACAAGAAACCAAGTTGGAATCATTTGACATGAGTTTGAAGTAGGGGTGTAAACGGATCAAATTCGAATCGGATATGGCAATATCCGAATTCGAATCCGATTAGAAAATCTGATATCTGACAGATATTGAAAATTAATATTTGAATTTGAATTCGATTAAATATTTGAATATTCGATTCGATTCAAATTCAACTAATTAATTATTTTAAATAATTAATAAATATATAAAATAAATATTTTATTTATATAAAGTATATGAATATATAAAATATTTATATTGGTTTAACTATTATATATATAAATTATATAAAACATTTAAATATTTTATATATTATATATAAGAATTAAATAATCGGTCAAATTTAGATATTTATCGAATCGAATCAGGTCATATTCGAATTCGACCGATTAGATATTTGAATTATCCAAATTTGATTTGATTATGTCAAATATCGAATTCAAAACCGGATTTTGGAATGTCGTTGATACTCCTAGTTTGAAGAATGAAATATGGGATTTTAATAGTGGGGAAAGGTGGAGTTGAATGCAGTGGGTCTTTCAGGTGTTTGGTGATAATTTGGGATCCTAGCTTAGGAAGATTGGAGAAAAAAAGGAAGGTTTTCTATTTTGATTTGTTTTCAGATGGAAGATGGGGGGTGGCAATGGGGACTTACAAGTGTATATGGCCCAAATGTAGAAGGGGCGAGGGCGGACTTGTGGGAGGAACTGGAGGAAGCAAGGTGGGAGTGGGGATGTCCTTGGTGTTCGGGGGGGATTTCAACAGGGTCAGAAGATTGAGGGAAATGAAAGGGGGGAGGGAAGTGAAAGGCTGGGTATGAAGAGGTTTGGGGATTTTATCAGGAGAAATGGTTTAATTGATCCTCCCATGAGTAGTTGTAGGTTCACCTGGAAGAACGGCCAATCTCCAGTTCTCCACCTATTTTAAGAAGACTAGACAGATTTCTATATTCTGGAGATTGGGAGGAACACGTAGGTGATTTGATCCAAGAAGCTCTACCTTTTATCATGTAAGACCATAAGCCAATGATGTTGAGACAATTCAGTGGTTTCATGTCCAAAACCAGTTAAATTTGAGAATGTGGTTGGACCATCCAGATGTTTTGGATTGGGTGAAAGAGAATTAGGGAGCACTGCAAGTGGAAGGAACTACAGGTTTCAAGCTGATCAGGAAATTGCAGCTGCTGGAGGAAATAAAGAAGTGGAATGCATGGGTTTTTGGTAATGTGGGGAACAAGAAAAAGGAAATATTAGAGAAAATGACCAGCTTAGACATTTTGGAGGAGGTGGGATCCCTATCAAGGGAGGAGAGAGTGGAAAGAGATAGGTTGGAGTTTGAGTTAAAAATCTAATTCATAGAGAAGAGGGGAGCTGGAGACAAAAGTCCAGATTATCTTGGTTAAAAGAAGGCAACAAAAATACAGCCTTTTTTTTCACACCTATGCTAGTGCGAGAAGGAGAATTTTATTTCAAGAGTTCAGGTGTGGGGGGGGGGAGATGGTGGAAAACTGGAGTGAAATTCAGGAGAAGGTGGTTGGTTATTACAAGAGGTTATACACCTCTAGAGTTTGGACTTTGGAGCTGAGTTTCCCTAGGGGAGATGATTCTTAAGAAGTTGGCCGATGCTTCTGCATCATGGATTGAAAATGAATTTGGGATGGAGGAGATCATAGAAGCCTTGAGAGATTTGAATGGAGATAAAGCCCTAGGTCCATATGGATTTAACTTTTTTTATAACAAGGTATGCTGGAGTGTGATGGAAAGAGATTTTGAATTGCTGTTTAAGAAATTTCATAGAGAAAATCTTGGAAAAGATGGTGAAATCTACTTTCATCTCTTTGAATCCAAAAAAGGAGGGAGTAGTGGATCTGAAGGATTTTAGACCCATAAGCTTGATTAGTATCCCGTACAAGTTGATGGCTAAAGTTTTATCAAAAAGGTTGAGGAAAGTTCCGCATGAGGTTGTCGGGGATTCCCAAATGGCGTTGTGGAAGGGAGGCAAATTTGGGATAGAGTCTTAGTGGCAAGTGAATGTCTTGATTCCAGATTAAGGAGTGGTAAACCAGGTCTGGTATGTAAGATTGATATCAAGAAAACCTACGATCATGTGGAGTGGAGTTTTGTAGAAGAAATTCAAAGGCTGATGGGCTTCGGTGAGAAATGGAGTGTTAGACAATGTATGCCCTTAGCTCCAATCAGATTGCCATACAAATACATTTATTGTAAATGAATAAAAGTACATAATTGTTTCATGTTATCATTGGTGTGTTTCTGTGTAATTACCCCTTAAATTGGACACTTATGAGACTCATGTTAGCTTAGAATGTTCTCAGCCGTTGGATAGACTTTCCTTTTTATGAATAAGTCATTGGATAGATTTGGGGAGTTTATTCTGCCAAGGCTGACACTAATGTGTTGCCAAAGAAGTTGGGGCAGCTTGTCTCGGCTACTAGGGTTAGACTCGAAGTACATGTAATGCGTGTTTGTTTGAAGCACTGAACCCGAACCATTTTCCAGTTATGCCCTGGACCTAGGAGACTGATGGGCAAAAAATGAAAAGTTACACATAATCCCTAGACTTGATTATGGTACTGCACTGAGTGTCGGATCAGACTGTCTTTGATATGCCAATCAGTAAGATCCTTTGGGGGTTAAAACCTGGGTATGTTGGGACTGTCTAAGAATTCACTTGAGTGGGTGATCATAGTGATAGGATCAGCCCCTTTGTCAGACAAAATGAATGATCAGGACTGCACTTTCTCTGATGGAAACCAGAACTACCGGCAATTGATTTCAATCGTGTTTGAGATTTGTTTTGCAAAATATATTTATATATATATAATATATATATATATATTATGTTTCAAGAAAAATGTTTGCAAAAGGTTTTAATTCCTAGGACCCATCCGAGCAGAGAGTGTTACAGTCAAGGGAGAGGT